TGTTTCAATGTCATGAGAGACGTCGTTTCCACGTTGATTCAATGTCAGTTTGCTGTCTGGGATAGTAGGTGGTGTTAAAAGTAATTTTATTACAATTTGTCATGCGCAGTTGCGCACTAGAAAATCACCAATCACTGGGCGTGTCAATCAATTTAAAGAAAAATTTTATTAACATACATTAATAATCATGAAAAATATTTTTAATTGAACTCGAGTGGACTCGGGAATAAGTCCGAGTCCTAAAAAAAAAAAGTTCGAGTACGAGTCAATTCCGAGTCCATGACAAGACCAAGACCATTAAAATATGGTCTCGAGACCGAGTCCGAGTCTCGAGTACTACAACACTGGTACTAAGTAGTAGTTGTTTTGACCCAGCAAGTTGATGAAATAACTACATTTTTGGATTAAAATTAACCCAAAATGGGTTTATAATTAAAGCCAGAAATCAGAATTATAAAAATCACTTTAAACACACAGAATGACTATAAAAAGGGAAAAATGTGTTTTAAACAAGAACAAGGGCTAACATAATCAAAAGAAACAATGTGCATGTTAGAAGAAAAAAAAGGCAAATCAACAGCTACAAAGTTTAATTATTTGTTTTTAACATTTTAATGAACATATGAATATAATTTGCTTTTAAAAACCAAATTAGATTTTTTTTTATACTATCCACCACCTAGGAAAACACTACACTATTATTTATTGGATTCAACTTTAAGGAATTGAATATTGCACCAACTTATTCAAGCAAACAAAGGCAACTTCCAAATTTAAGTTCACTCAACTATAAACTCATAACTGTAAATCCATTTGTTGACACAATCAAGTTTATTGCCTAAACTATAGACTCTATTTGACTAAAAAATCTGTAGCTATATTATTGGAGTTTAATAATTCTTTAACACAAGTTAAACTTGACCATTTGACTTTCAATCCAAATTGGGTTCCATCAACCCAGCGTCTTTACCCAACAGTCTCAACGTGGTGTTTGGGTTAAACAAATTAATTCTGCTATAACAGCAAGCCGGATGTACATTATCCCACTCATTGGGAGTTCCCATGTGCTTTCCTCCAACCCACGCGCTGCCATCCTCTCAGTCACACCCCTCACCTGAAGACAATCTATAAACCTGCTCCTCCAGTTTCTGCTCAACCTCACCTTATAATGCTCTGGTATTGACCCAGATAATGTTAATCACTTTCAGAAGTTTAGCTAATCTTCAGGAAAGGTTCAACATTCAGAAATAGCTCCTTTAGTATCAATCATGGTTCAGAGAAAATTTAAAAGTAACATTTTAAAAATGTTTGCAAAATTCTAAAATAGAATTTTCCGTCGTTCGGATTACCAACAAAACATAACCAACTTAATGTGGACATTAGCAAAATGTTGAGCACACTTTATATGCAGCCAGTTTCTATTAAAGGGTTAGTTCACCCAAAAATGAAAATTCTGTCAGTATTTACTCCCCCTCATGTTGTTCCAACCCCGTAAGACCTTCGTTCATCTTCCGAACACAAATTAAAATATTTAAGATCGCTCCTGCATACTAGTCCGTAGGCTTCTTGAGGGAATGACAATTGATGGCCTCAAAGTCATTAAAGACATCGTTAAAATAGTCCAAGTGACTACATGGGCTCAATCTTAAGTTTATCAAACGACGAGAACACTTTTTGTGCGCAAAAATAACGACTTTATTTCAACTATTCGTTTATTTCTCCCTCTGCGCGAGTCAGGTTACTAGTTTAATAGCGTAATCTTCTGTTATTGTACGTCACACGCATCACACACACGTGACCAGCGTCGGCCAATAGTGAGCCTACGTGTGACGTAGCTTTACGCAATCACACTACGTTAACTGACTACAGGCTCATGGAGAAAGAAGTGAATAGTTGAAATAAAGTCGTTATTTTTGTTTGTTTTTGCGCACAAAAAGTGTTCTCGTCGCTTGATAAAGTTAAAATTGAGCCACTGTAGTCATTTGGACTATTTTAACGATGTCTTTGATGACTTTTCGATGCCAGCAAGAGCCAGTCCCTCAAGAAGCCTATGGACTAGTATGCAGGAGCGATCTTAATATCTGAAATATCTTAATTTGTGTTGCGAGGATGAACGAAGGTCTTACGGGGTTGGAACAACATGAGGGTGAGTAAATACTGACAGAAATTTCATTTTAATGCGGTTCGGCATAGAACCAAATGCTGAACAAAGACACAATGTAATATAAGCACGTTATGTCTTACCGTCTGTCTCCACAGCTAGCAAAGGAACTGCACCTGTTTTAACCAAAATCACACTTTAGTAAATGACATCTTTTGACATAGTAACTTTCAACCAGTTGTACAGAAACTTACCATTTTGTGAACAACTGTTCTCTTTATAGGTTTCCTCGTCTGAGAAAAAAAACAAACAAACACAGATAATGTCTTGAATGTGAATGTATACGAAACAAGAACACAAGTAAACGTAATCTTTCTTACAACACCTTGATCTGCCCGTTTAAGCATCTTGTGTTGACGGTAACGGTAAATACCACACAGAACTGCAGCCAGAGCACAAACACACACCAGCGCTATTGCCTTTGCAGACAAACCTGCTGCTATCATGGAAAGAGAGAAACCATATCAGTATTAGATCTTCAAAAACTTTCTTGATTAGCTCTGTGAAATATCAGCGCTGTTGTACCTGCACATGTGTGTCTGCAAAGTGTGTTGATGTCCAGATGTGTGGTCTGGTTGCTGATGGGATTGTTCAGCACACAGCTGTAGGTGTTTTTATCCTGATATTCCACCTCCAGAGGTAGAGAGAGACTGATGCTGAGATCAGACACACTGATGCTGGACAATACACTCATTCCTGCGTACCAGGACAGAGTCACATGACTCACATTCACCACTGAACACACCAGTGAACATGATGATGATGATGATGAACAGTGTGAAGAGTTACTGCTGATGACAGGAACAGGCAGAGGACCTGGAAAACATCAGAGAATAAAGATGCATGTTTCACTGACACTGCAATGCAATGAGAAATGAAACCAAATGCATCCAGAGAACGACTCACCAATAACAATAATACTGAATTTCCTCTGTGAGACCTCTTTTCCGCTAATGATCTGTAGTTCATAAACTCCAGCATGTTCAGTTGTGGTGTTTGTGATGGTCAGAGATCCAGTTTGATCGTCCAGCTTCAGTCTGTCTCTGAATCTCCCATCAAGAACATCATCACATAATAAGACCTTGTTAATCGATCTGTTGATCTGAGCTATACGAATGTTGTCAGGTCCAAGCATCCACAGTATCAGCTCAACTTTCTGGATTTCAGTGGCACCAGTGTATAAAGTGACAGACTCTCCCTCCATCACGAACACTGACTTCACTTCACCTGTAGCACCAAACACACCTGAAGAGAAGAGAATTCTGTGTTCAACGAACGAAATAAAGTAGGATTGATTTGGACATGAGATTGAGTAAATGAATACATTAAAAAAACATTAAATTCTGTCTTATTCCTCCTGCAATCCTGTTCAAGTCTTTATAGATCCAAGGTCAGATTTCTAATCCCGAAAGATATTTTGTGAATACAGTAACAACAAAATGGTGAATAAGAGATTAGTTATCAGGTAATATCACTGAATCCTGAGTAATAATGCAACAAAACATCAGCACAGAAACAAAGCATGATGTTGACATTTTTTATTAAATTAAAAGCGTAGTAACCATGGTTTCTTGGAAGATTGATTATTATTTATATAACCACAGTTTTACAGCAAATTAAAACTATGAATAGTGTAGCAAAACCATGGTTTATTTTCGTAAGGGGTTTTGCACCTGTAATACAAGAATTAGACGTTTTTCTTTCACAATCTCCGGACAAGACCTCCAGGCCGCAAAGACGATTTGTTTTTACTCTGATTCCCCCCTAAATTAATATTATTTTTTGTTCTTTAAAGTTTGTAAAGTGACGTGCTAAACCATTTAAATCTACTCACCGTCCAAGAGTAACCCGGCGAAGATTAAAACAAACATGTTTCTGGCTACGTCTGAGTGAATTATGTCCATTTGTAGTTGTTAAAGTTTTCCATTGAGTTTCAGATTGTTCGATGTCTAGTCGTTTTATTATTCCACATTTCTAAGCGAGTCGATTATATTAAGTCGATAGATTTATACGAGTGTACACGAATGAAAAAAATTCGACTGTTTGATTATTTCACTGCTGGGAAAACAAATCCGCGTTTCGTAAAAATGAGGAAGCAAGTTCATTCATATGAGGTGCGTTCCATTCGACAGGGTCCCTACGCAGTGTTCACTGCTCCCTACTCCCTGAACACGGTATATCAGTTGAAGTGGACTTCACTGACTTCCTGTGAAGTGATGTACCGATGTTCCCTTATTCCCTATGCCGTTTGCAGTGCTCTTCGAACTGAACATGTTCGTTCCCTTCGAATTGGAATCTCACTTAAGTGTTGAAAATAACATTAACAAAGATTAACAAATGCTGTATGTGCTATTCATTATTAGTTCATATTAACTAATGTAGTTAACTAATTTTAACGAACCTTATTGTAAGTTTTACCATAATAGCTGAGTAATGAGTAAGAAAATATGTTAAGACAGTTAATTAGACAGTTGACTCATGCATCATTACTCAAGACAAGTTTTTTTTATTAATATTAAAAAGTTATAGCATAAAAATAAATGTAAAAATAAAGCATGACTGCAGTGTCTCATTCACATTATAAAACTGTAACATATTGATCGTCCACTAGAGGACAGAAAACATTCAAACACCTTTTGTTCAGTTCATTCACTCTGATCTAAACAGCGAAACTGACTCTGTAGCCTATAATGTAACAGACATGAAAAATACATGACATTAATATCTGCATAACAGACAAGATCGCCTGTTAATGGGAACATCAACTTCAAATTAACCACACGTTATTTTTTTTATTTTATTTTTTTTTACTTTTTTTTTTTTTACTTTTTTTTATTGATTTTATACAAACAATAAACAAACAAGCCCAGCTGTTACCAACATACAAAACAGGGGTAAAATTATTCACACACATAGATTGCACATCAAGTTCCATGACATAATGTAAATTATTGTTTACAACAAAACGCATACATATACAAAAAATATATATATATATAAAAAAAAATAAAAAATAAAAAAAATAAAAAAACTATTCAAAAGAATTTATAACTTATTGGTGAAGACAAAATGTGGTCTCCCGTCCTGCAGCAAATTAGCAAGATCACTAGGAAGGTGGTCAAGAAAAGGTTCACACGTTATTTTTAAGTTAAATGAAACCCTTTGTCATTATATTTTTCACAGCAATGCAGAATCATTTCAAACACATTTTCCAAAGCATTCAGGGTTACTAGCCTAAAGACTATAAGACTTTTCAGAGATCTGTCCATTCTCCATCAGTAAGTTTTTCTCCTCAGGCATATAATCTTCTTTTTCAATAGAATCTGTAAGACAGCATAGACAATTTCAGTGAAAATTAAAGTGTTGGCTACATCTACATAATGTGGTTGTGACTGTTACCCCCAAATATATCTGAAAATATGCAAGAAGGGTGAAATACAGAACAAAAAGAGATCAGAACAAAGAACAATCATTTTCGTCTCCAGCGCTAGATTGTTAAATATTTGTAAGGATGCTCGTCCATTTCCGGTTGTGGAGATTAAAGCGGAGGAAAACCGGAGAAAACGGGATTATGGCAGAGTATTCAATATTTACTGTCCTCCCGTCTTTGAAACGAAACGTACATGTTTAGATGTAATTTTATATATAGTTATGTTTATTTAATATAATTTTAAAAAGAAGCATAAACACAACGAGGGGTGTCTGTTTTATCTGTTTTTGTGACTAACGTTTCATTAGTATAACCATGGAGTATAAAATTCAATATAAAAATTCTCGGTATTGCATTGGACTCTATGATCGGCGGAAGTTATCGAGCATCCTTAATCCTTCACCGGAAATAACGCCGTGCATAGAGCCCATATGTTGTAGGTTACGCCAAATTTAGCCAATAAATCCAGAAAAATGTATTGCTTGTTCTAACTTGTTCAGGTAGTGGCGGTATGCGGGACACTGACGTGAAACCAGATTTCTTTCGCATCAATGGAAAGCCATATTTACACAGTCTGAACCCAGATAGCAAACTGACATTGAATCAACGTGGAAATATGACATAGAAACAACGTTGATCTGACATTGTTTTGCTCATCGAATTAACGTTGATCCAACGTCAGACGCGTCATTCTTTCAAAACTAACGGAAAATCAACTTGAAATCAACGCGTTGTTTCAACGTTATGAAAGCAAACCAATTTTCGATTTTCATTTAGGTTTGAAGAATGCCGCGTCTGACGTTGGTTCAACGTTAATTCGATGAGCAAAATCAACGTTGTTTCAATGTCATGAGAGACGTCGTTTCCACGTTGATTCAATGTCAGTTTGCTGTCTGGGAATCGTTCGCTGATAGTGCACCATGTGCTGTTTATCATTTAGAAAATAGTGATTGTGTGAACAAGTGACCGATTTCAGCTTCAGCATTATAATGAAGGGGGCGGAGCTTCAGACTCTAGAGAGCATTTGATTGGATGGAAAATCTGATGAGAAGATGAAGTGCAAAGTGTCTTTAAAATTGCAGATCCATTTCTTGGCGGAAGTGAGAGATGTTTTGGACGCTTCTTCGAAATGCGAATTGTGTCACTGTTTCTGAACACACTTGCTCATAGATAACAGTATAGCTAACATATTCATACTAAAAGACTTTCAAAGTGAACTCTTATACCGACAGGATTGTGGGACTCACCTTGGACAACAAATATCTTGGAGGTCATATCTCTCCCATTCTTGGTGATATTTACTTTATAAAGACCAATATCTGTAGGTTTGACATCATTGATAGTGAGATATCCAGTTTTGCGATCCAGGTGAAATCGGTCATCGTGATCGCATTGACCGCTATTGTTCAGTTCATTCAGTCTGGCGATGACTTCAAAAGGAGTTGTTTGATCTGAGCTTGATTTTCCAAACCTCCACTGTATCGCATCGTAGCTTTCTATTTCAGTGAGGCCAGTGTTTAGAGTGACGGACTCTCCCATCGTCACCGACACGGTCTTCAGTTCAACATTCTCAGCAACGCCCTCGTCTGCTGAACAAACGAAAATAAAGAAATTAAACATTGTAGTGGTGTTGACTCAGTAACAAGATCTTACTCAAGTTTTGCCCTGTTTAAACAAAATGTAATACATCTATAATGTATATAAGATCATATTTTCTATTTTTTAACTCTAGATCAAACTTACCCTTGTGATCTTTATTTCTATATTTCATGTGGATGGTAAATATTCCAACAGCAGCCACAGCTAAAACAATTGCTCCAACAAAAACACAGATCAGCACTATATGACTGAATGATAAACCTGTTTGTGCCGACTCGTCCTCTGTAATGTAATGCATTAGAGAGAGTTAACACACACAACTTATGTACAAAAATGTTGACATTGTAATTATGGGACACTTGAGAACTTGAAGTTAAGTTGCGAGGTATCAATAATGTAGAGCAGAACAAATCAGCGCTGTCGTACCTGCACATGTGTGTCTGCAGAGTGTGTTGATGTCCAGATGTGTGGTCTGGTTGCTGATGGGATTGTTCAGCACACAGCTGTAGGTGTTTTTATCCTGATATTCCACCTCCAGAGGTAGAGAGAGACTGATGCTGAGATCAGACGCACTGATGCTGGACAATACACTCATTCCTGCGTACCAGGAGAGAGTCACATCATTCACATTCACCACTGAACACACCAGTGAACATGATGATGATGATGATGAAGAACAGTTTCTACTGATGACAGGAACAGGCAGACGAGCTGGAAAACATGAGAAAATAAACTGAGAAAAAAAGTTTAACTATAAAAGTGCACTTTGTACTGCAAAAGAGGAAAATCTGGGTAAGTGTCAATTTGAAATTTTATATTATTGGCTGTTGATTGGCCGTCCTGTTCTTCAGTGTCACAATTTTAATAACAAACTTCTTGAAGTCAACAAGCTGTTATGTTTTTGTTTTGGAGCCAGGAAGTCCTCTTCACTCCTGCAGCCTGTTCTCCGACTATCTTCGAGAACCAGACGAGCAGCTTCCAGTCGGTGTTGGTGTTCCAGCGAGTTTCGCATTCCTGCCTGCTGAACTGAACAGCGTGTGTTGGCTGCGGCCAAGGGTACACTGGGGTTCCCCCCGTGGATGTTCTTTGGCAACATCTGTGTCCCGACAGCATCTCCACCTGGCGTGGCGACCCTAAGCACCCTCCAATCACAGGCTGGCTTTGAGGACTCTACCTAACAGTTCTCGGCCTACCGATAGATATCTATATAAAGGCTAGATGTGTCACGGCGGAGTATTTATCGTCATCGCTGGCGACCATCTTGTCACAGGCTTTCTGGCGGGCTCTGTGGTATCTGATGTGAGAAATACTCTTATCTCATTGAAATCTTGACGGATTTACAAACGGTTTGGTTTCTTACAAACGTTTTTAACGTGGCTATAATTCTGGACGATTATTTATTTATACACTTATTATTCATAAGTATGCAGTATCATAACTACATCTCTGCCGTTTATAACGAACCAGATCGTTTGAAAATCGGTAGAAAATTGAGCAAGTTACGGTGATTTAAAAAGTACATGCACCATCAAAACAATGTTACCAGTGAGCGAGCTGCCTGTGACAAGATGGCCGCCAGGTTCTGACGTCGACCTCCATTGGCCAGCAGCGCGGACGACACATCTAGCCTTTATATATATATATATATATATATATATATATGGGCCTACCAGAAGCAGACTGAGGCTACCATGTACCAAACCGCGGCAAGCTGCTGCCACTCAGCCGTCGGCTCCGCTTGCCACCGAACGCGCCCTCCTACGACTTCCACTCACGGCGAAATGTGTGCGGCCATTTTCGAATGTGTGCGAACACAGGATTGGTTTGCAGCGATCGAAGTGAAGGACGCCTACTTCCATGTCTCTTAAAGTAAGTAAAACCCTTAAATCCTTATTTCTCCCGTCTCAGGGGAAACATGTTCCTCCCATCTTAGGGAATAAACCATGACCGTTCAGAAATATGATTGAGTTTCTAAAGATGCAAAGCTTAATGCAAATAGGTGCGTGTCGGTGATGAGTGAATTATGTCAACAGATCAGTGATGTGTGAGCTTGTATCTGCCCCTCTAATATGATGTATATAAAGTTTGTTAGATTTAACGTAATGTTTCGTCCCTTATCGACTGTGCAAAATGTAACAATGTCATCTCAATTAGCCAGCTATAAAAGAAATTGTAATATTAATCAGTTTTGCTGCTGACTGCAAAGCAATGATATCAAACTGCTCACCGGAAACAATAATACTGAATTTTTGGGTTGTGGCTACATTTCTGCTATAGATCTGTAGCTCATAAAGTCCAGAGTGTTCAGTTCTGATGTTCATGATGGTGAGATCTCCAGTCTGATCATCCAGATGAAGTCTGTCTCTGAATCTCCCGTCAAGAGCATTACTGAATAACGAGACCATATTGACCTGTCTGTTGATCTGAGCTATACGAGTGCTTTCAGGTCCAAATATCCACAGTATCAGATCAGCTTTCTGTATTTGAGTAACATCAGTGTTTAGAGTGAGAGAATCTCCCTCCATCCCTGACACTGTCTTCACTGTATCTTCAGCACCAAACACACCTGAAGAACAAACAAACAGTTACTCAAATGGAGATAATTTCTGTCTAAAGAGATTAATGAGACTTTAAAATGTTAGTACACAGCAAAATCCCCAGTGTTAACACTTAAAAGTGTGAATTATATAATCTCTGAGCAGAGTGTTAAATCAACACTGAATCAGTGTTAAAGTTCATGAGATAATTAAGTTCATAATTGAGTGATGATTGAGCATTATTGAAGACACCTGATGTTAACAAGCAGAATCTCTGAAGGAGAAAACCGGAATTTTAAGTCACCATTATGGTGATCATTGTTTGCTTTATTTGGGCTTGATCAACGGATCAAGCGCGCGTCCATGAGAGCCAACACTTTATCAGCACCACTAGCCGCGTTTCCACTGCCGGGCTAGGGCTGGGCCAGAGCTAACAGCGAGCCGGGCCGAGCTAGTGGCCTCGGGCCTCAAGCACCGGGCTTGCGTTTCCACTGCCGGGCCAGTAGCCCCACAGCGCTGCCCCAGACCCCACCCCTAACACGCCTTTCAGGATCAAACGTCATAAAACCCAACCCATTTCAGCGGGTATTATGAATTAATTTATTTTTTAAATTAGGAAGATAGCATGTATATTAACTCAACTGCCGTAGTGGCTGCAATAGTGTCCCGAGACCAGTACAGGCGATTCTCCATTTCAAGCAGCGATTTTTTGCGCGATATAACAAGTAGGGCTGCGGGCACGTTTTCAAGTTATTCATTAATCGTTAACCGAGGCCCATCGGTTAATACTCGGTGCATAGTGTGCGCGCCGCAACCTCGAGATACAGAGTAACTTTTTAACACCTTTAATAACTGATTGGACCCCATTTGAATAATTTCTAGAAATAAAACGCAGCAAGTACGGAGCAGTTAAAGCCCCATTTCCATCACCCTTCAAACTGAAATTGCCAATTGAAAATAAGCAAAACGTCCATTTCACAAAAACTCCGTGTCTGCAAATAATAATAATAATAATAACCATCATCATCATTATTGTAACATTTTATTAGGCTGCATATGTAGAAGACGCCTTTATCCAAAAAAGGAACAGAGCACAAATAAACACAATATTTTTGACAAATATCAGCGCATATCCAGTGTGTGTGGAGCACGCACTGATGGCTGCGAGACGCCCATGTGAACAGTTTCATTGCATTTCTTTTAGTGGAAACAACTTAAAATACTCTTTAATTTCTGGTCATACAGAAAATAATAATACATTATTCGCAAATAAATTTATTTATAACAAGAAAACGTTGTGCTTTAACAATTAATCAAGACGCGCTTCATGATCTCCGTGAACTGAAGCGCGAGACCTGAAACAGCCACCGCATTCGAATTTGTTCGTTTTAAATTGGACATTTAAAGCTTTAGTCTACAGGGGTTTGTAGATTAAAGCTTTAAATGTCCAATTTAAAACGAACAAATTCGAATCGAAAGCCAATATCTTCTATGTTTATGTAGCTTAATTTCTCTCTAAATGTGCATCCGGAGATGGAGATATGTTTTTAGCCGAAAATCATTTAGAAAACAATATTTTATTAATAAACAATTAATGCCTCGTTATTTTATATTATTTTATTATCAGACACATTTATTATAGCCTATAAATCACCCATAAATCCCCTTATAGGCGGTGGTTACGGCTCTTCTCATTCAGCACTGCGGGGAAAATATCATTTCCAGGTTCTAATTTGGCCTCAGAAAACCAGTAAAATATATATTTTTTTCATATTAATTTGTCAAATATTTTAAATGTTTAAGGGGCAAAAAAATCAAACAAATATCTGAAAATTCGTCGATATGTAGCTATAGCCTAACAATGCGCAGCATTTGGCATAGGACTACAGTTCAAATTAAAATGTTATGCAATTTTAAACGGTTAATCGGTTAAACATGGACACCCCTATGTGCATCTTGCTTCAGATCATAACGTTCCATAACACCGATAAACTCCGCCTTTTACCTTGAGCACGCCTCCAGCCCGAGCTGGCCCCCTCTGGCCCAAGGTATTCGACGGGCCAGAAATCCTGGCCGTTGGCCCTGAGGAAGCCCCGATCAAGCCCCGGAAGTGACAGTGGAAACGCGACTGGCCCTGGCACGCACTAGCACGGCCCGGCCCTGGCCCGGCAGTGGAAACGCGGCTACTGATCGAGTCATCGAGCACTTTGATCAGTTGATTTAAAAAAAAAAACCCACACCTATCAGCGTGCTATATCGCCTCTTATTTGACAAATGAATGCTCTGCAGATATATTTTATTTATTTGTATTGGTACATCCGTGCCGCGAGGTGTTTAAAAGTGCTGGGGACAATATCGACCATGGCAAAAAGTGGTGGGGAAATTCGCAAATAATAATTATTCATAATAACTATAATAATAAAAGTTTTTTTTTTTTTTTGTGTCAATATATTTCTCAAACGGCAATCCCACCCGCTGATGACCCAATGCCCCTCCAGTAGATCTGCTCTGGCGCCGACTCTGGTGATGGTTGTGTTTCAACATAATCAGTATTTCACAACCAGTTGACCTGAATCACTGAATTCATATTTCAGAGTTAGGTTTAGGCTACTTTATTCATTATAGCAGCAGTGACCTTGTACAGCATAATATGTTTAACAATGTATTAAAAATAAGTTCTTAACTTTCTCTTTTACACTTTTTTACTTCTCTTGGCAGCTCTTACTCCCTTGGAGAATTTAAGTTCAAAGCTTGCCAGCCTCTTTAAATGTGGTAACCCACGTTTCTACAAACTCCGCACTCGGAGCTGTCAAAATTCGTGCTAATGGGTTTATGGGACATTTTATAAGCGATTATTAGCGAACATCGCCGACCGATTAAAACAAGTCATAGCACACCTCTCCCCAATAAGAAGCATGCCACTGTCAGAGAACGATGCTTAGCTTAGCCTCACTAACAAATTTTTTTTTTTGCATATAATGCAGCATTTTAATGAGACGTTACCGTTTTAGGCTACAGTTAAACCACCTCGACATGTTTGTAAATTATGTAAAATATCTTTCTATCAATAATCAAAACAATTTTGATTATTTCGTTTAATTGTAAAAACATAGAGAATGAAAGCGAAAGTCAGATTCTTTACTCACCTTTCAAGAGTAAAAAGCAGATAAATAACACCCAGATCATTACGCTGATGTAGATTAAAATAAAATCTGATTTAAAACAAAGTTGTAGTGTATGTGGTCATCTGTTCAGTTGAGTTCGCAGTTTATCTTCGATCAGGTAGCGCTCAAACGCGATGACAGCGACGATTAACATAATTGTATCTAATTAACAATAGGCTAACTAATATTATTATATCTAACCGACTAAACAACAATATAGAGACTATATTTTGAGTTATACTCCTAATGGTTGCTGGTAAACCAGTAGCCTAAATCTGCCGCAGATTATCTGCGTCTCGAGGAAAAGTTTAAGTTGAATAACAGGAAGTTTCTGAGGTGGATCGTGTAACCAAAGTTGAATTACCTGTTTCATCTAAACTTTTTTTTAAAGGTTTTGTCAACATGACTGAGTAAAACGTAGAAACTAATAAACACAATCCAGAATGTCCCTTTATGCACACCATAATTTTTTTTTTTTAAATGCCAGACTGCAGGAACACAACACCTCTTGCTGAACATTAAGTCAGTTTTGTTTTGTCCAGTATAAGTAATCACAATCCAAACAACATCCATTCGTTTTGTTTGAGTGCTTAAAAATATTATTTTTTTTTGTCATCGTCTAACTCACTCGACTATAGCTGAACTGATTATTATTATTATAAAATATTAAATAAAATTAAGAAATATTAGCCTATAATATTGTAACAATTTTTTTTCACTATAAATGTAAGTAGGCTATTTAAGAACATGTGTATAACAATAATAATAATAATTATTATTATTATATTTTACAGAAAACTTTTGTTTTATGGAGCTAGCTAACAATTCACAGCTAACAATTTTACATTCTGGGAACGTTCCCGTTTATAAATACAGAACATGAAAATAACATACAGGGTTATAAAAAAAAACTATTGTTTATTTTGTAAACCTCTTGTAAATAACGTTCTGTGTTTGCTGGCCTATTTTCATATTTTTACCCGAAATAGGGTGTTGTGTGCATTAGTGCATTGATTCTCGCAAAGCCCCTGAAGAGACATGATGAAGAAAAAAATATGAGATGGGAGGCTTTTGTGTTCTCCCTGAGAAACTTTGCGTTCACTCACAAAGAACACAACAGATTTTCAAGAGACCGCAAAGTTTCTCGAATAGCCTAATGCGAAACATTTGCGAGTCAGACATGCATGACAATTTTTCCTCCTCCCATCTAAATTTCCCTTCTCCCTCCAAGGACTCTGTAGATTCTGGAAATTCGAAATTCGCACCGGCTGTCTTGATTTGTTTATCCACCTCGCATCTCGTCTCTTTGGAGGGGCAAGTACGGAAGCCCTGAACCGCAACATAAAAAAAAATCTAAAATTACAAGAATAAAGTCGAAATATTTCGAGAGTAAAGTCGAAACATTAGAGGGACACTCCCAAAAATGAAAATGTGCTCTTTTGTGTTCATTCTTTCTTCTGCTGAACACAAAGGAAGATATTTTGCAGGATTGGAACTTTGGCACCATTGACTTCCACAGTATTTTTTTCTACTATAGAAGTCAATGGTGCCAAACAGCTGTTTGGTTCCAATCGTTCTTCAAAATATCTTCCGTTGTGTTCAGCAGTAGAAAGAAACAACTTGAGGGTGAGTAAATGATGAGAGAATTGTCATTTTTGGATGGAGTAGCCTATCCCTTTAATACAGTCTCCGAAGTTGCATGTGGTTCTTTCACGGTGTTTCATTTACAACGGTGCTGCATGGGATTAGATTTCGGTCACAATTCTGCGCGCGCAAGATAACAATTTGAGCGCACAAAAGAGCATTTCGCATGCGCGTGAACTGAGTTTTGCGGAGAAACGTTCGTCTCGCAGATGAGAAAATATTTCGAGCAAACGAAAATCAACTTTGCATTTAAAAATAAGTAATTGGATGTGCGCAGACGTTCTCTCTCGCATCTGCAAAGTTTCACTTTCTTGCTCCTCTCATACAGCCATACGCGCTATCGAAGCGCAGACGGCTCGCTTGCTCAACACAAACCAGCGTTACAATATGCCATAATTCCAGCCAATCAGAGATGAGGCTGCTAAATTCCGATTGGCTGGCTTGAAAACCAATTACAAGACTCCCTGCATCACCGACTGTGGACGAGGAAAAATGCATGGTAAGATGTTTGTTTAATTTTTTAATGGCTTGAACACTTCTATTTAAGTTCAAATGTCTACCACTCGACGACCACAATTAAGCTTTTGCTTATAATCAACATCAAATCGTACTAATGGCATGTCCCAGTGTTTGCTACACCTCAAGTGTAGTTCTAACTTTTTTCTAAACTGCAAGTTATTAAATAAACATTAGTGAAACATGAATGTGACTGAACTGGGGTCTCAAATGTTACACATTTTCAGAAATGAAGATGGCCCGATTTTTCCCCTTTTTTAATGAAATAAGTGTGTAAAAACGGTATCATCAGACTAAAACTAAATAAAAATGCACGTTCAAATAAAAATCAATCTACTTCATATCCTTGGAATTATTTAAACAAAAACATTCACAGCAGAGATGTTCTGTAAAAACATCTATCATACTAAAAAATATATTGTATATTCTTATACTTTAGGATGGATAGTGTGCACATTGGGATGCAGGCTTGTTCCCCTCACTGCAAAAAAAAAAAAAAAAAGTCATGCGAGTAATTATATAGTAGAAGTCTTGTGGGTCACACACCCAAGATTTTCACTTACAGTTATATTTGCATATATGTTTGCATTGTTACCCACATGTCTTTCTTTTTGCAGTGAGAAAAAGTGTGCACATGCTAAAGAGAAGGTCTACTCACATCCAAATACTTAGGCTATTTTAAGTGCAAAGTTGATTTTCGTTCGCTTGAAAAAAAATTCTTATCTGCGAGACGAACATTTCTTAGCAAAACTCAGTTCACGCGCTTGCGAAATGCCCTTTTGCGCACTCAAAATGTGATCTTGCACGCGCAGAATTGTGACTGAAATAACCCCATAGGTAAACAACTCGGTTCGGATAGTGCAGATATGGATTAATTTCTGTCCAGATTACTGTTCATCCAAAACAAATATTCCACACTCTTCTCTCCTTCCACGTTTTTCTCTTTCGTTTTCTCCCCCTCCAAAATTTTAGAAGCACCTCCTCTCATTGGCCAATATCAGACACATACAATTTCCACATATTTTCTTCCAATCTTCCAAACTTAACATACACACACAGCTTACATTGACAAAACTTTTAAATAAACATTTTCTTTTTAGGAAAAAAATTAAAATAAATAAATAATACAAATACAAAACTCACCATTTTACCAGTGTGTATTTTCTTAGAAATTTATACTTTTATTCAGCAAGGATGCATTTAATTGATCAAAAGTGAAAGTAAAAACATTTATGATGTTGCAAAAGATTTTAACCACAAGTTGAGAGCTTAAATTCAATTCCAACCACACAAATTCCTTGGAACTGTATTTTTTTTTTTTTTTTTGGAAACACCAAATCTTTGAACTGTGTTGGTAACAATGAATTGTTCAAGTTGGCTAATGATGCTTTTGGGAAACAAACCGAACTGTAGAGCCACAATTATAGAATAAAGGCATTAAAATTATTAACTACATTGGTTGACAAACTTCTAGGGATGTGCAAAGATTATTCAACTAGTCAATTGAAATACTGCTGCGAGTCGACTTGGAAATAGTCATTTACTTGTTTTTTTGCACTTTTACCCCTGATTTCACAGACAAGACTTAATCCTAGTCCTACTAAAATGCATGTTTGAGCTGTTTTAACTGAAAGCAACTTGCACCAGCATATCTTAATTGTATGACAATGCCATTGATTTGTTTTGTTTAAAGGGGTGGTTGATTGCGATTTCACTTTTTTTCATTTTAAATAGTGTGTAATGTTGCTGTTGGTGCATGAATAGTTTCTGCAAAGTTGCAGCGCTGAAAGTTCCTAGCCCAGCCGTAGTGTGTAGTATCGACAAGGAAGAGCTGGTCAGACATGGAGGAGAAAGAAGTGGGGTTTTGGCATGCTGGACATAAAAGGGTCAAATAATACTGCCAATTTTGCGGCTTGTAGAACAGCGCTCCAGAAATCACCTGTTTCCCCATCATTAGAAGACATGTTCGCCAAGGGTCAACCATTTTAAGCAACGAGTGGAGACCCTACAGAGCTCTATCAAGTCTTAGTTACACTCCTCAGTAAACCACAGCAGATGGTTTGTTGATCCAAACCATGGTGACACACAAAATATTGAAAGAGCTTGGTTACAAAAGCCAAATTTGGCGACTGAGAGGAAATAGGACAGAGCAGCTTCTAAAAGAACATTTGTCTTTTACTGAGTGGACTTACTGGCTGGCATACAAGCACACAGAAGGTCCCCTAGGTCGTCTTCTGAAAGACATTAGAAGGAATTACAGCAATTAAATATGGTATGCTAGAAGGCAATAAATTGTTTTTTTTCCAATTCAGGCATCACATGGTTTTATGTTTATGTGTGGCTACATTAAATGGAAATGGTACCAGACGCTTAATGAATAATTATAAAAAATGTAAAAGTTAATAAAAGTTACTTGTTTCATGCCTCATGTTTAAAGCAATTTTTCATGAATTGTGCAACCAAAAACAGAAGTCATTTCAAGCGTTTGAGATTTCTGGTGAACTTTTAAATAGTACACTTTTAGAAAATTTCTTTCGAAGAATGTTGTTTCACTTGACTTGAGTCATTACTAGTTAGTTCCCATAATCTCTACTTTAGAATACGGATCCAAATATTCCCATAGAAGTATGTAGCAACACTTGAGTCATTAATAGTTGGTTTCCATAATTCTTACAGTACTATGAAAAGCCAATAAAGTCTAGAATCTTCTAATCACTGACAAGATATGATGACTCAACATGTCCCAGTACTCACCTTGACTCCAGTGATTCAATGCCAGTCCAGAGGATTTGGCCACAGGACAAGTAAGGTCCCGACAACTGCATTTAAAAATCCATTTCTTTTTAAAATTATTCCGATAGGCCAATTATTAACAGCTTTCCCAAATCATAAGTCTGCTGTGCTATTACATATTGATAATGTAAACAACCTTGTGTATCCGTTTACAGTAGCAGTAAACATAGTGCTAGTCATTTGTCATGCATTGGATATTGATTAATTTTGCATGAATTATGAAACTTTTTCAGTAGTTCTCTGGGAAGCATTAACAAAAAAATAGTAGGTATTGATTAATTAATAGTGAATTACCACTTTCGTCTGAGCACTATTACTTACTAATTCGTTAATCAGAGTTTCAGTGCAACAGTG